CCCCTTCACATTTTGATTGGGATCCTTACTTGAGCCCTCTACTTCTAAGTGTTATCAGAAACCACACAGAGCCGGGGAGTGCCTATTGGACTATAGGCATATGCCTATAGGCATACGCAATGGCCTTCATTCTTATTGCATGGAATTCTTAGTGACTTTGAACCAAATTGCACAAGGCTCTTGATAGGCCATGTCATGATTAAGCATTTTCCAAACTCACGCTTGTATATCACAAGATTTAAACAAAAACAAAACCAACTTCTTTTACTCTTGACTTGAACTCAAGTAATTTGATGAAAAGTTCAGGATCTTATTTGTGCAATTTCACTATGTGCTCTGTCTGTAGACAGAGACATGAAAAGCTCTTCTTCTCTTGTTTAGGGTGTGATGCAAGCTGTGGATAGCTCCTCCACTCCTGTCTGGGGATAGTAGTGTCATGGACACACTCATTGCTAGATTTCAGAACCAGTGAGATTAAAATTGAGAACAGAATTACCATGCTTATGAATTTAGATGATGTATACGTGTTAAGTGACCTAGCAGCTGGAGTCGTTCTAGTGATTTGGAGGGATGTGCTTGTAATATTGATTGTACATCTGACTTCCCAGGAGGGGTAGCAGCAGCATTAATCATAGGGGAGTCTAATAAACTTGGTGGAAGAAGGTTATGGTTTCATTAGTTAAAAATTCAGTTGAAGACAGCTGCCGTTGAACGTTTATAGTCACTAATCCAAATGGATCACCCAGCACAGACAGGCTATTATTCCTTGTATTTTATAACTAATATGCCAATTTATTAATTTCTGACTTCACATAAATCCCACTGAGCTCAGTTTCAGCTAAGAGCTGATCTGGAGAATGCCACCTTGTGAGTGCTGGGCTTTTATTTGAGCCCCGCTTGCCCTGTTTTTAAGGGATAACTGCAAATCAGCTTCTTCAGATGAGGAGAGACTTCTGGACTTTATAAAGACAAGAGCCATAAAATTCACCTGAAGAGGCAAAAGCCCCCAATATTAGAAAAAGCTAAAGTGTAACATTACAAATAAATAATCTTCTAATCTGTGATTAATGGCCATGAAACATATTCCTTTTTTTTTCTAATGGATCTAATTGAATAGTCGGATTCTTTTTACCTAGACTTTGAGTAATGAGAAGCTGAGAGCAAACAGATACATGTTTATTTATGAAATATTTCTCAAAATGCAAAAGAAAGTATGAATCCTTGATCTAATATTTTCATCTTGAACAGAAATCACTTTCAAGGCAGTTTTACTAAGCCTTTGGCTATTATTTGCTATTATTTTTAATTTAAAACATTTAAAAATGGTGAGTAAATTATAGGTACTTATTAGTTGGGGTTTGTGCCTCTAAGTAAAGCACTCAAGGAGACCAGAGAGCATGTGAGGACCTCTAAACCTGGAGTTATATGATGTTGTCAGCTATCTGATGTGGATTTGATCTGAGAAACAAAGTAGGGTCCTCTGCAAGAACAGTCTATGCTCCTAACTGCTGAGCCATCTCTCCAGCTTGCCAGTAATTATTAAAAGGTCAGGCTGGTCTCCAAGTTTCAATCCTCCTGCCTCAAGTTCTGAGAGTTTAGCCATGTCCAGCCTCACCCAACTTTACTAGGAATTTTAATATCAACGACATCAGAACTCTGCAATTTTTTTTAAAGAAAATATGGGTTTGTTTGTAAAATAAGATTGTATCATATCTCAAAGATCACTAGTGGAAAGAGGGTTAAGGATACACAATTTGTTCTTGGTTTCAATGTTGGAAGAGTGATTTATATATAAGATCCCTGTGGAAATCGTAGCAGGCAAATTGATCTTTAGACTCATGTCAGTGGCCATTTAGCACCATCTGAACACTGTTACTTCTGCTACAAAAATACTGAAAGCTTCCAAAGGCTCAAGGTTGTTACCAGAAGAACCATCTGGAACATCCCTGATTGTACTTGAGGAAACAGTTAACCTTTGAAGTGTAAGAGTCAATTCAAGCCTCAAGTAATTTAGATAATATCAATAAAAGTGATTCCTTTTGATAGGTCAAATTTGGGCAAAGCTTTGATTTCAACGATGTAATTCTTATTTGCACTCCTGTTGGCTCTCTTAAGAGAAAAGGAGAAAAGAATGAGGATTTGAGGAATGCACACACCTACCTATGGATAGGTAGCTTTCACTTTTGAAAGTCTCACTATGGAGCCCAAACAGGCTCTGAATTCATGTTTCTCCTGGCCTAGTGTCTTGATTGATGGCATTACATCTTTAAAATGGTCACTCCTGTTCAAACAAAACCATTTGCCAAGCGACTAAAATGCAGTGCAATTTCCCCTTTTGATTACATAATAAATGTTGACCTATTATTATTGTATCTTTGCAGTAATTATTTAAAAGAATAATTCAGAATAGAGAGCAAATAGATAGAAATTAACTTTAGCATTACAAGCATTCCAGAAGTATTTTACTTCAAACCTTTACTGTTAAGTAAAAGAATGTTAGACAATGTACTTAGGATCACATAGTGTGACTGCAGGTGCAGTTAGCTGGCTTTTCCAGTGCCCTGTTCTGCTATTTTTTGACTGATGTGATTTAAAGATGCAAACTATCATGCTTAACAAAAATTGAATTCGTGATAAAATTTAGATCTTGCAGTCAGAGAAAAGTTAGATTGTATATATTGCACAACTGGTATCTTTCATAGTATCATTGACAAATGAAGTATTACAGTGAGATATTTCACTGTAATACAGCAACAATCTCAGTGTCTTTGAAAGGAAATATGAATGTTTTCTGCCTAACTTAAAAGAGAAAGCTCCAAAGGCAAACCATTTCAAGTTTAAGGAGCCATAGGCCAAAAATGTTAAAAAGAAGAAAAAAAGGAAGACAGAAAAAAAAGAGAAGAAAAAAGGAATGCAGAAGACTGCTATCGTTTAATTTCAAAACTAAGGCTGACAAAAATGTATAAAATTATGTTATTATAAAAGGCAACTCTGGCAGTACCTACAAGGCAGGCTTCCAGATTTCTGTGAATCACTGAGAGCTCTGCTGTCACATGCTTGGTAATTACTTTGGAGAAAATTTAAAACAACAGTGCTGTGTACTTTCTTGCAAGATACACACTACCAAACAGCTGTTTGGAGTGAAAAATCATATATGACATCTTTAATGTCCATATTCCTGATAAGACAGTACAGGGGAAAGCATGTGCTTAAAAGGGGAAGATTTAGTTTTCCTTTTTATTATTTGTAGACTTATATATAGGTGTGTGGGTGTATGTGATTGAGTTCAGTGCTGAAGAGACCAGAAGAAAGCATCAGATCGCTTGGAGCTAGAGCTGGGGTTATAAGTGGTTGTGAGCCATCAGAGGTGGGCCTTTTATAAAAGCAAGATGCTCTCTTAAACTGGTGAGCCATTTCTCCAGGACCAAAGCATATGCTGTTATTCCTATACTACAGGGTAGGAGGTGGAAAGCCCAGTGGTACCACTTACTGTCTACTCCATAAGCCTATCTTTAGTTATATGAATCTGGGTCTGCTTCTCAGGCTCCCCAAGACTGGGTTTTCTGGAAAGGAGACTTGGGCTTGAAATTATGACTTAAAACTCATTTTAAAGGGTTAAATTAGGTAAGTCTCTCCCTCCCTCCCAACCTCCCTCCCTCTTTTTCTCTTCTCTCTCCCTCTCCCCACCCCCAGCATGGCTGTATCTAAGACTACCTGAGGAGTGAGTGCATGAACATCTCAGTGGAACTCCTGTAGTTTATTTCTTGATTCTACACTGTCCTAACTGTTGTTTCCCTAGGATAAAGGTTTGCTCAGCTTCACAGCTTGGCTCCGAATTACAAAGAAGTACGGCAGCTTTTATTTGAAAGTGTATCTATACATAAATCAAGCACAACCTTTGTTTTTCTACCTTCAAATGACCTTATTTATTTCTTCCTATGAAGCTCCCAGCACCAAAACTATTAGAAATTGTGTGAGCTATTTATTCACATGGGCATGAATGAGGCAGCACGTTCAGCTAGTGTTGACCTTGCTTATTTGAAAGGTCAAACAGCTGTTGCCTTTGTGAAATATTTTCTTTTGAATTATTATTCTTATTTTTTTCCTTAGAAGGGCAGTTGAAGTCTCCATGTGAATAGGAGTAGAGGGAAAGCGAAGATCTCCCTCACTTTCTCTCTCAGAAGATTGAACTTTTGTATTTAAGCTTAAAGAGACTCAGGATCTTGATAGCAGAAGTTGAGTTTGTGGTTTAGCTACAGTACATACAGAGTTGCTGGTTTTCAGTTCATCCTTTTGGAAAGTGAGCACATGTACTCTCTAGATTCTACCCTGGGTAGGTATGTAAGAATAGAATGATTTCATGCACGTGCTGACCAGATGCTTTAGAAACAATCAAGGATTAGTGGATTTAATTATGGAGATTTAATTAAGAGATGCTTGACCTTTGGCAGGTGCCTTTACTTCTTGGCTCTTCAGTTTCACTTTCTCTTTAGTTCCATTTGTTCAGGAATGTGACAAAAATCTGAAGGTGTGGAGACAAATGCCCCTCTGTGTCTAAGCTGTCTGAGACTTCTTTGTCAGAAATGTTTATTGGTTGTGTCAATGGAATCTTCAGTTAGATTCATTACACACACACACAGAAACACACACACACACACACACACGCAGACATACACACAGACACACACAGACACCCCCACACACACATTCAAATATTCAGAAAAAATAACATACTCTATAGATTATTAATGTTATTCACTTAATGGAACATGCTGGACATATATTATTAATGAACAAAGAACATAACATATACAGACTAAATTTTTAAAAAGATAAACTTGGGAAAAGTTTCATAAATTGCATCTAACAAGTCTATTGGGATTATGAGTAAGATTTTCAATCTTTGGCTAACTGGTATTTTCCAAAACATGCACACAATGACTCATTACAAGATAAAAAACAATATTGACATATAAAAGGGATGGGGTAAAGACACTGACCTCCTTCAGCTGAACAGATGACTACAATCTGGCTGAAAGGTCCATCACCTTTATTATTATAAACACCAACTTTGACTTCAAAGGGTGTGAGAGGTGGGACACTTTCATCTCGATAAATGAACTTGGAAGCCTCAGAAGACGTAACCATTTTCTCCTTCCAGCCTCGTGTTCCATTGGGTCTGAATGCCACTATGTAGCCGAAGCCTTCCCCGTTCTGAAACTCTTCTGATACTGGCTGAAGAAGGATAACATGGTTAGTAACCCACAAAACAACTGGCTGAGAAACACTTTACTCTTAATGCTTAGCTTTGCAAAGTTAGAACTAGGGAAAAGAGTCTCAGAACATTTTAATAGGCTGAACGCTAAGACAGCACATGTACTTTAGCTTTAGAGACACAAAATAAAAAATGGAATATTATCTGTTGGTATCTAAGGAAACACACAAAAGTAATGAAAACTTATAAAGTGAAATAAATGTATTCCAGTTAGTCATACATATGAGCTGAAGATATGTGAACTTTATTGTAGAACTGAACAAGCTGGGGAAATCTGTCATGATTGAGATGCAAGACTGCTATCTCTAGTTAATGCTCTACAGAGTGGCCTGCAGATTAAATCAAAGAGAGGTTAATGCAGGACCTATCTTCAGTGTTCTTTTCTTCAGTGTCTGTGTTTTCATAATTGCAAAAACAAAGAAGCAAACATCCACCCGAACTGTCAATTTTTTTAAACTTCTCATGCTACACATGGCTTACATTTAAATTTGCTTAAATGTTTCAACTGCATATTACAGATGGAAGTAAATGTCTTGACAAGCCAATGGAGTGAAGTCACCAGCTGCTGTAGCAGAGTGTACAATGCATTGTAGATAGCCAGAAATTATGTGGTAACTTTTTTGTTAGCTTGAATTCTAATTTAAAGAAAAACTATGTTCTGAGTAGAGAAAGAGAAAAAGTATATTACTCAAACTTTGTAGAAGAGGATCAACAGAGGTCAGATGTGGGAAAATGAGTACCATGGCAGAAATATGGAAACAAGACATAAGTTTTACTTAAGAAAGGAATGGGCCTGGGGTAAGGATAAGAGGGATTTACCTGGGCCATATTCATCTGAGTAGCAGATCCTTATACTGCCTCTCTTCATTCAATCAGAAACATCTAGTTCTGTAGTTCTAGAACCTCTTGTTCTAGAACCAGGGTATGTTCTCTGTGCATAGCCTTTGTTTCTAAGCAAGCAACCCTTTCTGTTACTTGTAAAGACATGTATTTTTTACCTCCCAGGCAATGACCAACTCGTGCCTTCTTCCGCTTCTTCCACTCACGTTGCTAGGTGCCGTCTTTGGAACTGTGGATAAAATGCATGGAGGCTGAAGAGAATGAATACATGTGTAATTTCCTTAACCTCTTGTCTCATTATTACTTAACTTAAGTTTGGTAGAATTTGTAAATGAGTCAAATATTTGCTTTAAGTTAGATTTATCATAATAATATTGAGGCAAAATATAGATACCTTGCTTTCTGGCTTTCTAGGACATTTTGGTGATATATATATTTGATATCTATAATATATAATATATAATTAATATATAATATAAATAAATCATAACTAGCACAAGAGCTAAGGCTATTTACCAATGACTGAATAAATTTCACCCTTTAAATGATTCTCTCTTTTTCTCTTTGCCACGGTTTTATTTCTTCCTATCATCCCTGCATCTGCAAAGGTTCTGGAAAAATCTCCATGTCCTTAGTAGCATTATCTCAGGGATCTCCAGTTTAAGGAAAACATACCCATACTACTACTGTGTGAGAATGTACTTAAATGAATAAACATTAAAAAACTGTCAATATCAATCTTTCTACCACTGCAAATACAGACTCATTCAGTGAAAGTTCTACAAATGAGTAATGATTAAAAGAATAAATGTGTCAGAGGAATAAATTTCCCCTTCACTGCACCAAACTACAAAATCTACAGCTGAATGAGAATATTTTCAAATGAAGGGCTGTTAAATGAAGAAAACTATTAAAAGAAATCATTTCCAGGCCTGCACTGGCAATTTTATACTTCAGTCTTGCCTTTGTATCCCAGCATCTATTTAAGATAATATTGATATGTACATAAACAATAAATCTACTACTATACGTTACTTACTGGAATGAAAAGCTATTAATTACTAGTATATATTTTATATAACATTTTATATACTGTGAACAACCTGAAGCTCAATATTTTATAGTACTAGAAAGGTAAAATAAAGAATTCTTGGACCAGAGAAGTAGAGAAGAAAAGCCTGTGAATATATAATGATCTACACTAAAATCAATAACCTTTGTGCAACCAGTTTTCAATGTCAATGCCCTTGGGCTCTTTCTCCTGAGACATAATTCTTCTCTTGTTCAAGTACTTGCAAACATTATGAGTACCAGACTATACAGAATTCATCAGCTGTCCATGATTTTCTCTGACAGCCACATGCATTCTGTAGGTTATTCATCTATAGTGTTGATTGCATGGATTCCCTCAGAGGTATCTGAAATTTGCTTTTACCTTGGTACAAGAGAGTCCTCGGGATTCAACAAAGAAGAAATGAAATTATTCAGACAATAATTAATATGTCCTAGTTAATACAAAAAACAAGGAAATACCTTAGTAACATGCATTTTTAAAGCTTGTACTGAATTTTTTCTTTGACAGTTTCATAGTGTGTACGGTTCATCCTGATGACTATAATCCCATGGACCCTGGTTTGCTGCTTACCCCTCCTAATCCTTCTTCCTACAATTCTTTTTTAAATATTTTTTTGCTTTCTGACTTTCACTGAGTTTAGACAGGATCATTTTTGTGATCATGGATTTGGAACTGTCAGTCGGAGAATGTTGTGCTCATCAGTGGGTCCACAGGTCACTGGGAATTATAATTATTGCTACTACAAAAACCTGAGATACACCCATATGCTGTGGCACTTTTCCTAAGACAATCTGTGTGACATTGACTGTGACTTTAAATTTGTTTACTTACTGAGCAACAGTATACATGAGGCTTACCATAGGGGTACTTGTAAAAACAATGCATGCCTCCACCATGTCTTCTCCATTCAAGCTACAGTTATCGGAAAAGCAGATATTCAATTGAAAAAATGCTTCCATCAGATTGGCCTGTAGACAAGCCTGTGGGGTATTATCTTGAATACTGATTGATATGGGGGAGGGGAAGCCCACTGTGGGTATGCCAATCCTGGGAGATTGTGCAGCTTGTCTAAAAAAGCAAGTTGTGCAAATCAAGGGGGAGGTCTAGTGAGCAGCATTCCCCATAGCTTCTGTTTTAGTTTCTAACTTCCATTCATGGTAGACTGCAAGTATAAATTGAGATAAACCCTTTCTTCCCTAAGTTGATTTTCCTTATGATGTTTTATCACAACAGTAGAAAGGAAACCAAGAGAATTCCCAAGTTTCCCATTCCTGGTTAATTTGAGAGTTCTGAGTATCATGATCATCAGTGAATGCCTACATAAAGCAATAGCAAATTTTGTACAGTTTATTATTACCCAGGCATTCTGGTTTCTCTTAAGACATTTGCTTAATTAGAAAGTGAATACACTATTACTGATGCCATGTTGTGCTTGCAGATAGAAGCCTAGCAAGGCTGTTCTCTGAGAGGCACTACCAGCAATTGACTGAGACAGATGCGGATACTTACAGCCAACCATTGGACTGAGGTCAGGGACCCCTATGGAAGAGTTGAGGAAGAATTGAAGAATCTGGATGGGGATGGCAAACCCATAAGGCTAACAGTATCAAGTAATCCAGACCCTTGGGAGCTTGCAGAGACTAAACCACCAACCAAAAGGCATACATGGGCTGTGCCATGGCCTCCTGCATATATGCAGCAGAGGACTGCCTTGTCTGGCCTCAGTGGGAGGGGATGTGCCTAATCCTGTAGAGACTTGATCCCCAGGGAAGAGGGATGCTGGGGGTCGGGGGATGAGGTAGGATTGGATGGGTAAGTGAAGGGCATGGATGGGTAGGTGGGTCGGGGAACACCCTCTCAGAGGCAAAGGATAGAGTGAAGAATTCTGGGAGGGGAACCAGGAAGAGGGGCAACATTTGGATAATAAGTAAATAAAATAATTTAAGAAAATAAAAGAAAGTAAATAATACACATTTAGTACACACTTTATATGTATCCCTAACTATATGTATCTAAATAACTAGACAACTGAATAATACTGTTTTAATATTTTTTAGAGTAAGCTCTTTGTCTACATCATTGATAAAGTTTATATCTGGAACTTAGATTTTTGAATTCTCTTCTTTGAAATAAAGTCACTAAGAACTCATATTTCCATGCCAAGTCTCTCTAAACATGGGAAGAGTCCTCTCTGTTTTGCTCAGACATTACAATGATGGGTTACTCAGAGCTCGAAGCAAGAATTGTCCAATGAGCTATTAGCTGCAAAATGAGCCTCTCTTGGATCTCACTGAAATCTAAAGTGTACAACTGAATACAAAGAACTATAAAGTTGAAGGCCCTGAAAATCTGAAAGGAGCACTGTGTAGTCCATTCATGGTTTAGTTTTTAGAAAACATATTTAAGGTTTTTTTAATAAATTTTAACCTTCTGACCAAAAATATGTTTAAAAAGCAAGTGATATTGCCACTAATAATGAGGCTCGAGACATGGCTTGGCACCCACATGGCAAACTTCCAAATATCTATAAATTCAGGTGCAGGAAATCTATTGCCCTCTTCTGGCCTTCCCAAGTATCAGACACAAAAGTGGAGCACAGACATGCATGTAAAATAAAATAAACATAAAGGCAATAGTTCTACCTCAAGCTTCAGGTATACCACTCCTGGGTGTATACCCAAAAGTTGCTCCACTATACATCAGGGACACGTGCTTAACTATGTTCACAGCAGCTTTATCTGTAATAGTCAGAAACTGGAAACAAACTAAATGCCCTTCAGCTGAAAAATGAATAAAGAAAACGTGTTACATCTACACAATATAATACTGCTCAGCTATTAAAAACAAAGACACCATGAAATTTGCAGGTAAATGGATGGAACTTGAGAATATCAATCTGAGTGAGGGAACCTAGAGCCAGAAAGACATATATGGTATGTATGCACTTACAAGTGAATGTTAGCCATAAAGCACAGGATAACCATGCTATAATCCACAGACCCAAAGAAACTGGGTGATAAGGAGGTTCAAAGGGAGAATGTTGGAATTTCACTCATTGGTGGTGAATGGAGAGAGGGAACTGGGTATGAGAGGAGGCAGTAGAGGAATGGGGATGGTGATCAGGTGTGGGAAGAGCAGGAGACAATTGGGAATGAGAATGGAAATGGGGGGCATCTCTGATGGTTAGCTGGAGGCCAGAGACAGGGGAGGATAGAGAGAGTTTATGGGGGCGACTCAAACTGTTATTCCTATAAGAAAGGGATATAGAGACTGAAGTAGCTAGGATATCCAGAAAAGGGAAGAGGACTTCAATCCACTTATAAAACCTTCAGCCCAAAATTTGTCTTGCCTACAAGACGTGCAGAGATAATGATGGAGTAGAGACACAGAGAACAACCAACCAATGACTGCCCCAACTCAAGACTAACTAACCTAGGACCGTGGAGGCTCATAAAGTCTGAGCCACCAATCAAGGAGCATACAGGGACTGGAACTAGGCCCCCTACATATTTGTAGCAGCTGTGCAGCTTGCTCTTCATGTGAAGTTGAGTGGTGGCCATCTCTGATTCTGTTGCCTGTTGTTGGATATCCTTCCCTGGACCTGGACTGCCTGGTTGAGCCTCAGTGGGAGAGGATGTACCTAATCCTGCTTGGGCTATATGTCTCAGTATGAGGTGGTACCGAAGGGGGGCTTCCCCATCTCTGAGAGAAATTGGTGAGGGATTTATAAGTCCCAGACTGGGAGGAGAGGAGGTAGGAAGTGTGATAGGGATATAAAGTGAATTACAAAAATAAGTTGTTGGAAGACAAAAAAAAGTATGGTGAACACTTAAGATTTCCAGAGATTGTGAAAGCAAAATAAAATTTTTCTTTAATTAATACATTGATGTAGGAGTAATTTCTAGGTTGAACTCTCCACAAATAACCTATGTTTGGAAAGATATACTTTGAAATTGAGCTGCTCAACATGACATTTTGAGATGAGTTAACCTATAGTCAAGTAGTCAATGTAAAGAATTAAAATTGTCTCTGCTTCACTCTCATCATTTTTAGTGAGACACATGAAGCACCAGAAGAGGCCGATGACCGACAGTGTTTTGATATTTTATATGTGTGAATTTTGAAAAGCCTATTAGATACAATAGACAGAACTG